AAATTCTCCGTTAGGCAATGTGTCTTTAGGCAAACTGTCGTTGGACTAAATGTCTTTAGGCAGATTGACCGGGTACCATGGACGTGTTCAGCGATTAAGCAATCACAATGATCACATGAAGCAAATGCATGAAGAAAGTGCGCATCAGACAATAAATCGAACTAAAATCAAACGAATAGATAGATAAGCATTTTGTTCAGTATGCACCAACTTGCAAACTGCAGCGAACTGCACGGTCATTCCACTTGTGGATGAAGGGATCGAAGACGAGTCGGTGGCGTTGCTTGCGACAGTTGCTGAGGTAGGCGCGAACGATGACGACGGTACTGTGGGCACAGTACTCGACTCGGTGTCTTCAACAGAAACTTGACGTGAATGAGATACTGATGCGGTCATGCGTGATGCTGATACTGGTTGCTTCATGTGCTGAGCCGGATAAAGTTGGGGCTAGAATAATAATGCTCGTAGCAGTAAGAACAGCAAAATAAAACGCATGAATAAACTTTACCGGCATACTGTTCGTTCTTCTCGTATACTCGTTTGGATGATGAACATTGTTGCGGTAAACATTTGGGTCGATTTGACTGTTGGCATACGCATTGATAATATCGTTCTGTGATGACGACGAGCGGGGTGTGTAGCTGTTGTTCGGGATTTGTTGCTGTTGTTGTTGGTGTTGCTTTTGATCGAGCACTTTAAGTTGCATCAATTGTAAAAAATTATTATTATCAATTATTACTTGGACATCGAGTGGTTGTTTCGTCGATCGCAGTGAGCGATCGGCGGAATATTTATTTCATTAGAGTAATGAGTATTTATTGAATTGGTATTTGACTGCGTTTAATTATGCAAAGTGTTCACGGCGACTAATTATTTACTTAGTTGTGCTCGGTTGGCCTGCTCGCCTGGCCAGCGGGGTGGCGTAAATTGAGGCTAAAACAATGCGCACGGAAACGCGAGTATTGTGGCCAGCAACGTTACAAACATTTGATAGCCTGGCCAATCAAGATAGTCAAGGCAATGATTGCATTGTAGGATCACTCTACTTCGATGGATATTGTCATCGAATTATTACGATCCAACTAGACATGCACTGCACGAGTGCACTTAAGTGACATTAACTATCAGACAAATAAGATCAGATGCTAAGAACTGAAGTAATAATCATAAACAACACCATACACTGTTCGCGAAGATGTCGATTGCTGAATTGCTGAAAGAGTTTCGAAGTGATCATTTCGTTCTTGTCGTTAGCAGTCTCATTCTCATGGTTATTATCGGTACTGCTTGGTGTGATCACTTCAGGGACAGGAGGTAACGAGCAGTGGCGTTGTGCTTTGCGAGTCATCTCTTCGAGTTGCTTGCGTGACGATTTCTGATGATCTGCCGATATGGAGAGTGACAGTGCTGGCAGCTGCGATCGATACATGCCGCCATCAGCTATACTCTGAGACATCTGTTGTCCTCCTTGTAGATTCCTTTATTTGTTTAATTTACTTTGAAGAGTACAATTATAAGCAATGTGTCTTGTAATATTATCAATATGAACAAATAATGACAATTAAAACCATAACAACAATAATTAGAAGGATCGAAAAATACAATAAACTACCGCATCATAGGCGATTGTTGGCATGAGAGTGAGCCAAACTGAGAGGCGATCAAAGGTGATATGGCTGCAGCAG